ATGTGTTAAAACATTTGTATAAATAAAATAAATACAACAATAAAAATTAATTGGCGCTCCGGGGCGACTTCATTGATTCCAGTGGCGCATTTGCTTTTTCAGCTGCAGGAAAACCCGGAAAAACCTGCAGCACCACATCATCTGAAGATCTTGATCCAACAATGTAATTAATTGTTGACTTTTAGTAAGGTTACAAAATAATTTCCTTAACTATGGCTCAAAGCTGGAAACTTTGAGTCATACTTTTATAAGTAATTTACTCTTTGTAAATTACTTATAAAAGTAACCGAACTGCTATAAGTTTGATAGACTTAGGTATAGGACAGATAGATATAGGTATAGATAGAGATAGGTATAGGACATTATTAACAAAAAAGTATCAAAATACCAGAGCGATTCCAAAAATATATTAATATACAGGGTGTTCCATTTAAAAAAATAAAGTTGCTAATACTTTTTGATGGAAGTGGCAATGCCGCAATGCTGAAAATATTTTAGATCGATAGAACAGGTAAGGAAACGTGAGAGGTGAAATTTTCAGAAAAATCATGCTTTGCGTTTTCCAGAAACGTCTACCCTACCATCGACCGTGAGTCACGCTGTATATACCACCTTTGCTGCCAATCAACTGGGTACCTCCTAGTACTGAACATGCCTGAAGAAACTATTGTATACCAAAACACATGACGCAGTTTCATAATCTGTTGGGTGGTAATCTTATAATGAAGTATTGTTCAAATATTTTATGTAGATGTTCATCAAGTAAAGGTCAGTTTCATCACGTATCTACTATCATATCATAGAAAAAGTTTAGGATCATGTATTTAATTTTTTGAATACAGTAACCTGAACTTTTTTTCATTCTCAAAAGTTCATGACAATCCACCCTTACATTTTCCCAAGCAGTATCATCATGACAAACATCCCATAAGGTCATGAGTTCTTCAAACCATAATTTGTAACCAATGTCAGCTTCTTCAGGTTTAGTACAAAACGGTAAAAATAATTCCAGGCATTTGACAGTCCTTGCCATTTCTGCACTATTGAAAGCACACATTCTTGGTTTGAATTCATCTAATATTTCCTGTGTTGCTGAAGCAGGAAAATATCTAGAATCAAATTTCAAATAAATGAGTAATCTGTCTATTTCTGATACGGATATTGCAGAAAGGAAAAGTTTTGGATTCGATAACTGTCCTCATCTAAAAATTAAATAATTATTGGCTGACCAAATAATCATTTGATGCTAAAAAAATATATATTATGGGTTTTTTAATGAACTTGCTTGGTTCAAATATTCCATTATATTGTAGAAACATTTCTCGAGTAGAAACTTTTTGATGACGGCTTTGAATTTGTTAAATTCCAATGATTTCACTGATTTATCGAGAATATTATACAAATTTAGGTTCAGAGAATTTTTATTGCTAACAGCTAGTCTATGCCGTTGGGGATTCAACATCTCTGCAGGTTTTGTGTTATACCGATGTATATCGGAGTGTTTTTAGAATTCGTTTATGTTTTTATGTATCTCTAACAAAACGATGTATAATGAAGGCATGATACCAAGCTGAACAAAGTGTTGACAGTGATCTTTGTATCCTATATTTGCTAAAATGCGAATGGCTTTTTTCTGATATCGAAATACCATTATGGCATTACTTGAGTTGCCCCAAAGAAGAATACCGTATGAGAGTATAGAATGAAATAAAGAGAAGTAAGATATTTTCAATACGTTTTGATTGGTAACTGGTTTGAATTGTCTTAAAACAAATAAAACTTTACAGAGCTTTCGAAGTACATAATCTACGTGGCTGGACCAGTTTAACCGATCATCAATGATTATACCAAGAAAAGATACATTTTTTCCTTTCTGATAGAGTAGATTTGAGGAGACAATTAAGTTCTGTGTTTTACTTTCATTTAATTTGAGTTTATTCTTTGTGAACAGCTTTTGACTAAGTATTTGTTCTCGTCAACAGTACGAATCAAATTGATGTGTGATTTATCCGATTCAACAAGAGTGGTGTCATCGGCAAATAAAATACATTTTTTTGGTGTAATACTTTGACATAAGTCGTTTATGTACACAATGAATAAAAAAAGGTTCAAGTACTGAACCCTGAGGTACTCCATGTTGTATCGGTTTGATGTAGGATTTGATATTATTGAGATCAACACACTGATATCTGTTTTCGAAATAGGAGCTGAGGAGACTCAAAATGGTACCTCTTGAACCATAAAGACTCAGTTTTTCAATGAGTAATGCATGTGAAACACAAACGCTTTGGTCAAGTCGCATAAAGTCAAGGAAGAGTTCTTGCACTGATCAAGACCCTCCACTATGTCATTCACCATCTTGTAAACAGCTTGAGTTGTGGATTTGTTTTTCCGAAATCCTTATTGGGATTCACTAAAATACAACCTCGTTTCAAAGTAGGAGTATAATCGCTCTTTTAATAATTTTTCGATTATTTTTCCAATTATGGAGACAATACTAATTGGACGATAGTTGGTTCTAAAAAGAATGAATCTACAGTGGAAGGAAAATTCCTGAAGTCATAGTCTCCTTCAGAAAATACTTGTGGAAGAGATTTTATCGTATCTACAGCTACAGTACGAAAGTGATCATTGAAATCATTTCCAGAAAATTCTGTTATAGTTTGATGTTTACTGTATATCTTATTTCTTTCTGAGTTGATTATACTCCAGCAAGCTTTTGAACTATTTGAAGAGTTTTTAATATATTCGTCGTAGGCGTGTTTTTTATGATTTATCAATTCATTATGATATTTCTTTTTAATGTGCTTATAAGCTTCAATATCTTGCGGGCTGCCTGACACTTCGGAAATAATTTTAACAACTTCTCATTGATTTAAGTTTGTCATTGTACCAACTGATTTTAAAACATGAACAAGAACATTTCGATATCATAGACATTTATCAGGCGTTGATAAAATAGAACTGACACTATATATACAACCAGTTGTTGCTGCGGCTTCGCCCGCGTAGAATTTGGCTTGTCACATTAAGTTTCGTGACAGACCATTTTAAACAAACAGTTACAATATTTTTTCATCAACCCACAACTTCAGGTTGCCAACTTCAAAACTGTCGAAATCTGCTGACTGACAATCTTGCAGCCCCTATTTTCCCCCCTTGGAGGTGGAAATACCTGATTCCTTTTCTTTATACTTGTTTACGCTATACAAAGAACCTACCTGCACATTTCAAGATTTTAGGTTAAGTAGCTTCGACTGTACGTTAATATAAGATTGTCAGTCAATCGATAGGTACCCACTTATACAATATTAATTAGCAGCAGCAAAAAATGGAAGGATTAGAATGAAATACACTGGTAATCCTACTAATTCCATTTCTACTAATATTATAAATGGGTAAAGTTTGTGAGGATGGATGAATGTAATGTATGTATTTGGCAGGTTGGCTGTCTTTGTTCATCTTTCACTGCCTGAACCACTGTGCAGGCTGTTTTTTGCGAGTGCATTGGCTTGGGATGTGGGGGTTGAGCAAACAGGCCATCGGATGCCTGCTTCCACGTAGCCCTGGTGGATACGGGAAGCATTAAATTGATTTGTGCAATTGGCAATATCCAAAAGACTACAGGCTGATTCACGGTGGATGGCACATTAGACGTTTCTGGTGAACCAGATAACGGATCACTTTGAAAATTTAATGGAGGGCATATTCGGACATTCTCTAGCCAACTAAAATATTTTCGACAATGCGGTGTTGCCGCTTCTATTAGAAAGCAGTAGCAACTTTGATTTTTCAAATGGAACACTCTGTATATAATATTATTTTTGGAATCTCCAACAATTGCCCGACAACTTTTCTT